GCTCCCGTCATACGAAGCGTCATCCAGCGCTTCTCGCCGGTCTTCAAGTCGTGGGCGATCAAATAGCTTTTGACCGGTTCATCTTGCAAGTCGGAAAGCGAATCTTGCATGCAGACCGAGATGACCAGGCCATCGTAGATGACCGGACTGTTGGCGTGTCCCCACCAGATGGAATAGGGGCCGTAAAGCTCTTGAAGATTGTGTCGCCACAGTTCTTGGCCTTCCTTGGTGTAAGTCGCCAACAGGCCATTGCCGAAATGAACCACCACGTGATCGCCATGCACGACAGGGGAAGGGCTCGCCATGTTGTGCAAATTGTGGAACTTCTGGGTCTTGCGACGGGGCGCTTTGCGAGGCGTTTCGGCTTGATCGACGAGGATGTTCTTTTCGACCTTTCCCGTCTTCGCATTCAAGCGGAGCAGACGCAGTTCGTTGGCGTCGTTTTGCAGCGTCAGAAAGACTTGATCGCCGACGATCGCAGGCGTCGAATCGCCCCAGCNNGCGGTGTCTTCCACGCGATGTTCTCTTCGGCACTCCACTTGGTAGGAGCGTCTTGGGCCGGACTGAAGCCAATTGCCTCAGGGCCACGCCACTGCGGCCAATCGGCGGGGTCGCCTTGGACGAGCGGTTTCCAGTGCGATTCGTCCGCGACAACCGCCGACGGCAGAAGCAAAAGGAGAATCAGCATAACCGGACGAAACGGCAGCGAGCGACGAGAATTGGCGAACATCATGTTTTGTGGGGTAAGATTGGGGAGCGGGAAGGAGGAGTTTTCGCTCTAACTTACCACGCGGCCAAGCCAAAATCGAGAATTTCTTAACGAACGTCTGCCGGGCAAAGGGCAGGCAAGTTAGGGGCGAACTGGGGGAAGAGAGATGTCCGAAAACGAGCAATACCAAGAACTTCGCGATTATCTTCGCGGCGAGAACTATTCCGATATCGAGATCGATCACATCATCGCGCAAGTCGAAGAATACGACGCGGGAACACGAGTCGATTCGATCATGGACAGCATCAACTCAGGCGATCTCGACATACAAGCGGTCATCGACGAAGCCCTGAAGAAGCTGGCCGATTAACGCTTGCCGATGAATTTCAGCGGGGGAAGTCTACCAAAATCCTTCGGTGAAGCGCAGAAATTTCTCGGGAAATCATCTTCCTTCCCATTTCATTACCCGCATAATGGAGGTTCCGCTTTCGTGCGCGAGAGAAGGCGGAACTTTTTTGTTTCGGTTCGGCTTGCTCTATACCCTCGTCCGAACGTTCCGAATTCCCTTTGTGGGAACGGCTGCGCTTAGCAGGTCCTCCCATCTTCAGGAAAAGAACTATCTCATGAAACGTTTTGCTCTCGCCATTCTTGCAGCATTGCTGCTGGTCTCGGGTTCGTCGTATGTTGCCCGAGCCGAAGACAAGCCTTCCGAAGAGAAAGCTCCCGAAGCTTACACGGGAGAAGTCGTTGCTTTGGATTCGCTCGAAGAATTCAAGGAAGACACGACCGAAGCGAAGCCTCTGTTAGACTTCGCCAATCAGAACTTCAAGCTGTTGATCGGTCAGATGTCGGAGTCGCCGGACACGGCTGAAAAGCACATCGCCGCGATCAAGGAAGCCATGGAAGGTGTCGAAGCAGGGGAAAATGTTCAAGCCAAGGGTTTGATCATGAGCATCGATCGCTCGTTGGACATGTTCCGATCGCGCATCGCAGCCAAGCGTTTGACGCTGGACGAAGTGAAGTCGCAAGTGACCGAAAGCCCAAGCGATACCGACGCGATCACGTTGTACATCACCCGCGTCAGCATGGCGTTTTCCGAAGAAACGGGCGAAGACGTCGCCAAGATGGAAGCGTTCCTGAAGACAGAGAACGAGTTCGTCGATTCGCTTCAAGAGGAAACGGAAGAATCGGACGCGTTGGCATCCTACAAGCGTGCTTCTTCGTTGCTGAAATCGCTCGGTAGCCGCATCGAACGTTTGAAGGTTTACCAAGAGATGGTCGGCAAAGAAATGATGCCGGTCGAAGCAGAAGTGTGGGCCAACGGCGAAGGCTTTACGCCGGAAGAGCTCGAAGGCAAAGTGGTTCTGCTCGACTTCTGGGCCATCTGGTGCGGTCCCT